ATCTCATTTAAAAGATGGATTAAATTGTCAGTGATTGTTATCCAGTTTAGCTGCACATTGAATGTAGCCTAATGTCTACAAGCAGTAGTTTTAGAAAACTTTTATGAGTTAATATCAGTTTACCTGCCATTGAGACTAATTGATTCATTTCTCAAAGCAATTTGCTCTGTATTGAATGAAATCATTAGGCACAGATAAATATTTGAAAGTGTATGTGAATTTTTACAAGTGATAATGAATTTGACCAGTTTTACAATATTTGAGTGGACACAGAAGTGTTTTTTTGTTTTGTTTTGTTTTTTCAGACAGGGTCTCACTAGGTAATCCAGGCTGGTTTTGAACTCATGGTGATCCTCCAGCCTTAGCCTCCTGATTGCAAGGATTACAGGCATGTGTTACCATGCCCAGCCAATGACAGAGAAGTTAATACAAACAAGTGCTTGTTTTCACATTGAAGCTGTAGATTGAACTCTGACTTATAAATACTTAATTGTTCACTCATTAAAGTTTTGACTTATCTCTAAGGGTATGTTGCCCAGCATAGTATACACTAAGCAGATGACAAATGCTCTCTGAATTATAATGATCAAAGTGTTTAGTCTTCAATATATTAAATTTATATCATATCTGACACTTGAGATGTTTTAAAATTGTACCTTAAGTGTAAGTTTGAATTGTAGAGCTCTGGAATCAGAATTCTTTCAGAGATTTTCTTGTCTGATATTGTTTGATAGTCAGGGCTAGGTATAAAGCAAATTTCAGATATTTGTATTCATAAAATGTGGGACAAGCTGCAATGGCTATGGGGAAATGGGCTGTGTGATTTTTTTTTTTTTTTGAGAGAGTTGTGTGTTTTTATATTTTTCTGGAACCAAAGGCTATTGAAATGGGAACAAAATAAATAAGTAAAATATAATGTAAAATTTAGACCAGAGAAACCAAAAGAAAGTCAAATTCTACAGCTGTAGAGTTTGCAGTGATTTGGTTGAATTTCAAAATCAAATTATTTATTTAGCTAGGAACAAGTCCTGCTAGGGGATGTCTAGTCTTCAACTGGTTGCTGACTAGAATCGTAATTAGGATAATATTTGCCCTCATAGCATTTGAGAAACCACCTGTGTGGCTCTCATCCTCCTTCCCCTTCCTAACTCCCACTCCAGTGCAGTCTCTCATCACTGTGCTACATGCCTGCTTGCTACTGAGAACAGATGAGCATTTTCTCCTGGCCCCTTCCAGCACTTGCACCCTGAGCCTAAGGCTAAAGGTAAAAAATAAGTAGAAAAATGTCAAGGAGGCATGCTCCTTTGACTTATTGTGCATGGTACTGTTATTTTTTCTGGTTTTTCTGAGGTTTACATCATGAATTCTCGTGTTCACCCCATCAACTTATAATCAATAAAGCCATGTCTTTTGGGGGGTGAGCAGTACTGAACCCAGGGCCTTGTGCATGCTAAGCAGACACTCTAGGCCTCCATTCCCCCATGTCTTGTTTTCAACGTACATTTAAATAATTCAGCTTATCCCCTGATTATGTGAGTTTGGTGGAGCAGATTTGAGCAACTGAGATCCTGGTCTGATTCTGACACGTTTGCAATGTGTGACCTTGTACAGGTAGTTTAATCTCTCTGAACTGTTCACCTCCTTTCTAGAAGGCAGAGGTAACTCGGTAACTACATGAGACTTTACTTCAAAGAGAGAATAAGATGTATTCATTTAATTAAGTAATAGGGTTCAATTCAGTGAATTGAGTTGACATCCTGATTCAACTATGCTGACAACTTCCAGCTTGGGGCACTCTGTGATCCCATGTACTCCAACACATAAAAGTGACCAGTCCCTCTTCCTCTTGCCATCTCCCATTCCTACCTCCGGCAATTGCTTAAGCCACCCAACAGTCTCGGGTGTACAGACCTGAAAAGGGTGAGAAATATCCACATATACCATCTTTTCCGTGGCATTTCCTTGTTTTCTTCAGAAGATTGCTCTCCTTTGCTCTCCATCGCTTACAACTCATATTTGTGTATTTACTTTCCCATAAATTCTTTTACTTTATTACCTTTTATAACATTTTTCTATTTCACTTGTGAAGAACAAATTTCCAATGTTGTCCATGAAGGATAGATAAAAATAATGATGCCCTTCAAGAGGGAAAAGGAAAGCTGGAACTTTTAAGGTTACATTAAACTTACAAAAAACCAACAACATTTGTCTCTAGAGTCCTCTGAAGTGACTATTGGTTCTATTCAGAGTTTCTGCAATTTTATGGTTTTTAAACCTATTCATCTATTATCAAAAGCAAAGTATATGTAGAATTGACAATATTTAGTTTTCCTGTTTTCAGTTAATGGCATGCAAAAAATGTTATGTGCTATGCAGGCAACATAGTAAGTGCCTACTAGTAAAGGGAACAAAGAGGAAGGAATAAGTGACTGCTGGGAAGGCGGGGCAGGGATGCTTGAACTGGATTTTGTAGATTGAATAGAACAGTTTCAGTTGGCTGAGCCAAAGAAGACATACAAGCATGGGGCAAGGCTTAGAGGCAGGTCACCATTAGTGCACATTGAGTTGCTTAAGACTATTTGAGGCACTTTCTATCATAAACCACTATGCATAGCTGAAAACAGCTTAAACCATCACTTTCTCAATTTGGAAAAATGCCAGATATTTTGGAAATATTCTCCATGTGTTCCTAAGGCCCCACCATCATGCTCCAGTGAAGATGGCACAGTTGACAAGCACATGATTTGGAGAAAACAACATCAGGGACAGGGTGAGCATGGAAGAAACAGGAGACAATTTTTCAAAGTGAAGCAGCTCCTCTCTGGGCTTCAGCACATGGCCTGTGCTGCATAGGTGGGTGAGGGGGTTTTAAGCCCACCCCAGAAAGGACACCCCTCCTCTTGAGAATGGAAGCAGGGAGGGGGGCAAGCTGACATCCCTGGGGGAGGTGTTGAAATACAGCCTCCCTTCTGGTAGGCAGGGTGACAGGGACAGTAGGCTGGTGTAGCTTTCCTTCCAAGTGGCTGCTGAGATACGCCCTGTAGCAAGTGAGATGGTGGTAGGGAGGTGTGCTGAGACTGAACTAGTTCTTTTTCGTAACATCCAGAAAAATGTAACTTGTTAGGTAATACAGTTACAGGAGCCCTGTTTTCTCCAGGGCTCTTTTCCTTCTTCAGGAGTTAGACGTCCACTAACTATGATAATAATCATTATGTATACCTATTCACACAGATGTGCTAACATCTATTGAATTACTTTTATCAATGGGTGCCATTTGAAATATGAATTTTAATTATTTAATTTAATAAAACAAACCAAGGGTGGTAACAGTTGAAATATCATAGTTAAATTTTCTGCCCAGGTGGCTTTTTCCATTCTTTTTTGCCCTATTCACATGAAACATGGGATGGTTTTTGCATTACCTCATTTATTCTGACCAAGATCCATTTACCCGGGCTTCCATCTCCTGAATGCCACATAAACCTCAGGCTGATTGGTTTTCTCCTCTTTTCTAAGAGAATACTCAAATACTCATTGTTCACTAGAGACCAACATTGAGTTTTTTTTAAATTCCTTCCAAATGTTTTCTTTGCCCAGATCATTACTTTTTAATAATATGGATAGGTTGTTAGACAACTTTAAAAAAGTTCATGTCATAACTTACTGAAAACAAAATGAAATGAGTTTTTATTTTCTAGTCTCCATAAGAAAAAGAAAGGTAATTTTTGGTCTATCTTTTCGGCCTACCCCATTTCTCCCCTCCAATGGCATATCAGAATTCCACTGCACAAGGCTAGCCAAGACTTCAAATGCATAAACACACACTCATATTCCTTCTTCTCAAGTGAACCCACTACTTCCCAAACATTTACCAACATATACCCCAAAGGAGGAGAGTACCCTGCATTCAGTCATGGCATTTGTCATTTATGGACCCCCTTGGGGTCCTTCACAGGGATCGTAGGTATCTTTGTATTCTTGTGTCCACTGTTAGTAACATAGCAAAGTTCCCCCATGTCTGTCCCCAACACAGCACATTCTTATGACATGACAAAACCTCCAAGAATCATCCTTTCCACATTTGTTGATTTTTCAACAAGTTGAGTTTTCCTCATATCAATGCGGGTGTTTTTAATTATTGTCACTTGTTAAAGAAGAAAACGAGGCAAGAGAGTTTACCAACTTGCTCAGGACATAAAAAAGCATACAGGCCAAACTCACTGCAGGGAACATTATACACACTATAGTTGCTTATGCATAATCAAAAATCAGAGATCAATTTTACTTTCTATGAAAAGTTACAAGAAGCAACTCAAAGAGAATTTTCTCTTGGAGATGTCTCTAACTTGTTGACAAGAAATGTTAGAGGCAGGATGGACAGTAAAGAGCATCCATTTCTACTCTCTCCTCTTGTGGACCGAAACTCAGGTAATTTGACTTAAACCCATAGGACACTGAGCCCAGAATACAGGTTTCTCGATTTCCATTCTAATGCTCCTCCTGCTGTATCACTTTTAATTTTAAGATGCATTACTTCAACAGAGCAGAGTCTTTAAGTCACAGCCCTCGTACCCTATACCACACACCTTGTCTTCCTTTCTTTTCCCATCTTTATGGCTTGGGCTCTCTGAGGAAGAGAGTAATCAGAAGTGGCCCCTGTTACCTTCTTCACCCCACAGTCAATTTACCTGGAAAGCTGTGGAGAGCATCTTCATTTTCCAGAATGCCTCTCTGTTTGGTTGCCTGCAGCTCACTTTTGGACTTCCAAACCAGCTTTACCATCCTGATCATTTCTGGCAAATCCCAGGGCAGCGGCCCCTGCTGGTACCCCGGCCGGCTGCCAGGGGAGGAGGGCAGCACACCTTCTGGGGCCGGCCACCTCCTGCCTAGCTCTGCCGAGTGGAAATACCGCTCTAGCACAGGCATTCTGCCCGCTTCCCCAGCAGAGGAGGTAGGGCTGCTGCCGCGGTTCTTGCTGCTGCTGCTGCTGCTGTTGTGGCCGCGGGTGCTGCTACCAGAGGGGAAATTCTTCCCAGGCAGGGGTAGGCGAACCCCCGTGAAATCCTCTCCAGCCTTGGAAAGACAAGCCTCCTCCAGCCTGGCACAGCCTCGCTGGCTCTCCAGTCCCTGCACAAGCACTGACGACGAGAGCGATGCACTTCCCAAGGTTTCTCACTGGTGAGAAACTGTTACTGTACTCCTTCCTTAGAGATAGAACGCAGCTTTTTTCCTCCTCTCTCAGGCACCGAGTTCACGGCACTTAATTAATCCCAGGCTACAGCTGGAACGACAGCGGAAGGGGAAAAAAAAGCCATCGAGGTTTCAGCATTTGCTTTTCCTCTTCTTCCTCTTGGTTTATTTGTTTTGAATTCGCTTTTGGTGTTTGTCAAATGGCTTAGTTTTGAAGAACTTCGGGCAAAGAAATGGGGCTTCCTCTTTGCCAGACTCTCTCAGAGGGGTCCCCAGAGGCCACTTATCTGGAGGTGGCAAGTGAGAAGTCACCCCCTGGTGCAGGAGGCCTAGAAGTTTCCCAGGTTCTGCTCCTGCAAGCCCCAAGGAGCCCTCAGAAAAGCGGGGGAAGCTGAGCACCCACTTCTGTCAGGAAGGGGTGTGTGTGTGTGTGTGGTGGGATGGATGACAGGGATATTGCCAGTCCACGGTGGTCTTGCACTGGGATGGGTGATTGTCAGGACCTCAGTTCAAACACTCTGCTTCCTTCTGCACACCCTCCCCCTTTGCTGTCACTTGGTTCTCAGCAAACCTGAATTTTGAGCTATTAGTCAAATCCCTTTGTAACCTCAGCTGCCCTTCAGCTGGAAGGGAAGTAACACTGCATCACACTCCAAAGTCAACTCTGAAGGATGTGAATTAGGGAGGCAGACAGGTCCTCTTGTGCATGTGCAGAGGCTTTGTATAGTGCGGGTACATGGCTAGGGATGGTTAAAACCCCTTTTCAAAGGAAAGTAATCATTTTAAAGGATGTTCAGGAAGGGGGGCATAAATAGCAAGGAAAATGAAGAAAGTGTAGAAGACTCACTTTCTGGAGAGAGAGCAGTGTGGGCTTAATATCTGGGCCGCTGCCTATTTTGTCCCCACCTGAGAGCAATTGAATTGAGGACAACTGTGACCAGGCCTCTTGTTGCCCAAGGCTCAGAGATGAAGGGACTCACTCTGGAAGTCAGAATTGACACAGCAGCAAGAGACGCCCCCTGTTGCTTATGTGAAAGGCCGTGGACATAAATGAAAGTGGGGTGGTATTATGCTTGGCAATTTTGCTAGCAAATTGGATTTGTAGAAACAATTCAAATTTGAACATTCACATGGCGAGCCCCTGCTTTCTTGGAGGACACTGTAACAGTCCCTTCCTCCTCTCCTCTTCACAGCTCTGCATTGCAAAGGGCTCTGTTTTGTTTGGCACTTTATTTTGCTGATTATAATCTATTGCTCCTGCTCTACATTCCTTTCAGGGCTGGTTGATCACACAATTATTTGATGTTTCTTTAGGGGAGCATGGAGAAGACTTGGGGGAGAGAAGGAAGACTGTTGCAGAGTAAGTTTCATGTTCATTACTCTTACTTCACTTTTTGAAAGTTGAAAGCTGCAAAGGCTACTGTAATTATGTTGTCATTATTATCCCTCTAAATGCATAGTTAATAAGTTTGGTTTTCCACACTAAATTAAGTGATTTTTCTTCTATTTTCTGGATAGAAAAATATACCAGGAAACCTATTTTCTTTCCTAATAGGTGAAAAAGGGGTGAGAGCCTTTAAGGGTATAAAAGAACCATGAAAAACACTGAAGACACTACTTTTTGTGAATTTCATTATTGAACCATTGATCAGACAGGTCTTTCTATAACAATCAGATATTCATAAACCCAATTAGGGAATAATCACTTATCTATTTTATCAGAAAAACATGCTTTTCTTCATTTTCCTTTCTTAAGAGATGAAAAGATTTATGCATCAGGTTGCTGCACCTGCCATTTCTGACAGCCAGTCCATCATCCATCCTTATCTTACCTTTCCTTTCCACCAGACTGGGGCTATCAAGGCTCTTTAGAACTGAGATGATTTTATTTAATAAGGACACGTAGGCTGCTGTACTCTATTACCATATTTCCTGAATAATGTCTTAAACTTACTTCTCAGTTACAAACTTCCTTGACATAACAACTGAAGAGTTTCCTAAGGGTTTGACTATTTTTATTTTTGTTCAGTTATTTTGCAATAGTACTTAGCATCAGGATATCCTGACCCTTGGAACAAAGGGGTTAAGAACAAAGAAAACAAATATATGATATAATAATATATCATATACACTAATATATTAAGAACATAAGTCTGCATTGTGCATTTCTTAAGTAATGAATTTTTCAAAATCTAAGAATATAAGTTTCCATTGTATACTATTTTACATATTTTCCTGTAAAAATATTTTAGAGAAGTTAAAAAAATGTTGGGAGTATTGAACATGAATACTTCCTATGGGAGATGAATTAGGGCCAAGCAAACGCCATTTCAAATTTTCATTCCTAAGGGGGAACCTAGTTCATTTGATGGTTTGCAAGTTGAACATGTTTGCACAATTTAAAAGTTTTTCCCCAATATGGGATTATCTTCATCCTAGAGTAGGAGAGCAAAAATACCACAAGAAAGGTCATTCTCATGGTATTTCTGGCTCACGTAGAAACAGGAAGGACAGGAAATCTTGCGAGAAACCTTGGCACAGGAGATTTTTGGCTCAACTGCAGGCTCAAAGAGACTGGGAGAAGCTGATCGATGCTAGCACTCACTGGACTGAAATCTCTTGACCACACTCTTTCTCTGAAAGATGTTTTTGTTACATTTTTCTGCAAGTGCTTCACAGGGTGTGATCTCTTTGGTCTTTCAGACAGTTGCATAGAAAAGCATGCTTAAAGCTACGATTTTTTCTTTACCCAGTGAGCATCCTTAACCTTGAGATAGTATCCATAGCCAGAAGTCTGAATCCCAGGTATGGGGAAAAGAATGGGGATGTTCTGTACTCAGAAGAGTCATGGAGCACAGTCTCATTTCTCTGACTTGTAAGAATTCTTACAAATGTTAATACCATTATTAAGGTGTTACAGACAGGACATTTTAAGATAGACTTTCAAAATAACCAAGATCTTTTTTCAGGCATTGTGAGTCAACCTAATATTCCATTAAGAGAAAAACAGAGGCATTCTCTTCTTGGGTGAAAGAAATGTAATGAGAATTATCAAAGTCAAAACAGCTTGTTCCAATGGAAACCTAATTCAATCAAAAAGACTTGCTGTGTGGTTGCAGTTATAAAAGAAATAAATTGATAATCCAAATATTAAAGTATATGGAAAAGGAATGTGTTAAAGGCATGGTTGATTTTGTCCCTGAGTTATTTTGAAGAATTTTTAATGTTCTGGTGGTTATATAAATCTTGTAGAATGTAAGTGCTACTAGTTATTAGGCAGATAAATTTTTATTATGTATAATTTAAAAAACAAAAATATTAATAGTTAAGTATTTTAATCATGCTAGAAAATGTATCTTTAACATGCAAATTTAAACCTATATTTATTGCCATTTTCTTTTCTCATGAGTCTATCAATAGATTCTCACAAAACTTTATCTTAATGAAAATCTTGCTTGGATATTTTATACTTTATATCCCTATTGATATATCTGCCTTTTAGAATAATTTTCAAACTATTGAGGGAGTTTATTTATTTTGCCCTGCACTTCCCTGTTTATCAATTCAGTTAAAATATGAATCTGTAAACACACACACATACACACACACACACACACACACAAACACACAAGTTGTATGATTACCACAATTTCAGAAATGCAATTCAAATGCAATCCAAAATGATCGGGGAGGAAAAACAGGTCTTTCAACTTTGTTTATTGTAGTCTAAGTAGAAGAAGCTCAAACAATTTACAGTGTCCTTCAGGAGAAATAGAAGTATAATAGCTTTTGCCTTAGCTAATCTGAAGGATACATGCCAGCAAGAAGGGAAAAGGACTTGTTCGACCATAGAAGGCAGCACATATTTCCATCATTACGTGGGAAAGGAGGCGAGTGGGCAAGATGAAGAGAGATGAGGTTGGGGAAAGTAGAAGGGATTGAGCTGATAGATTCATAGTTTGATTTTGCAACAAGTGTCTAAACTATACTCGTTCTCTTCTTCACTTTGTGAATATGAATTAACTGTGACAACAGCAGAAAGAGAATCCCTATAGGGGCCCAAGGTACTGAATTTGTCTGACTCTAGTGCCTAGATCTTGATTTCAACAGGAGTTATCTCTTGTTCCAATAATTATTATTGTTTTTATAGATCTACAAAGAAGCCAGCTAGCATCTGATCTTTAGCCTGGCTCTTAGCTATCTTAAGTGATGCTAAGTTTACTGTCTCTGAGAGTTTTCTAACAGCCAATGAGTTCAGTAACGAAAGGGTTGAGATCAGAGAGGCAGAGAGACTTGCTTTTCCCTTCATGGCATCTCCCTGATGGTGGACATGCTGCCTGTTCTCGTCCACTGTTGAACAGCTGACACTATGGTGTATGAGCCTAGCCTCCTCTGCCTATAACATTTTCAAGACTTTCTGACTTTGAAAGATCATAATTGGTGGCAGAAGACACCTTTTATAATTTCATATCTGAGTAAGTCTACTTTTTAAAAAACACCTACAACAATGAAATCTCTGAAGTAACCCTCCAAGACTACTTATCTTAGGTTTATAGAAGCTGGGTTTCAGTCTATACTGTCCATTAAGTTTTGCCCCAAATGTAGTGCGTTATCTATAAATAGGTATGAAACCAATAAGCACTTTATCCATCATACTCAAATATTATAAGAATCAAAGAAGACTAAAATGTGAGTTATGTTAAACCATAATGTGCTAGAAAATCTAGTATGATTAATTTTAAACTATAAAAAATTTGACAATTTATGTAAACTCAAATTTTAGCCATATTTTCCAAGGATCTACGGTATTAGAAAACTGAAAATCCAACCCAGCTACCATTAAAGTTGGCCCCACTTTGGAAATTTATAATTCATACTCTGCATGTAAATGCAGGAGTGGAGGAAATCAAAGATGGAGGTAGTGGCTAGAAGGAGAGAGAGTGAAGGATTTAATGGTAAAAACTCAGGGTAAGGTAGGCAAAATCACTGACATGTGAATAAGCATGGTTAGATAAAGGTCAACATATGTGTTTCTAGAAGGCTCACTAGGATACATCTTCCTTGGTGCATTTTGGAGGTATAATAGCCTACGAATCATGTCCAGGGTTAAACCTGTATGATCTTCACCGCAGGTTATTTAGTGCTCCAGTTAATATTGTATAAGTTCTCTCGATGGAATGGTGTTTCCGTTTTCAAAGACTAATGGGTGTGTTTGATGGTCTTGAGTTGTGTAGGTTTGTGTCATCTGCTGTGGTAGTGAGCATGTGTCTTCAGGATGCCTGCTGACCTCATTTGCCTGGACAAACTTATGGGAGCTTCATTTTTTGTTTTTGGCCTGGGATCTTTATTTCTTAAACATTTTTATAATTTTGATTGATTTTAACTGATCTCCACTTAACTTACTAGTGTGTGGAAAGAAGTGTGATGTGCAAAACCATATATAATGTTTAAAAAGTAGCTGAAAGAAAGCCTGAAATATTTTCCTTTTCTTCTTTTTGGACAAGTGAGATGCATGACTTCTGAAAGTTCTCAAGAATTGGGCTGGGCTCAGAAGACTGAGGAGAGCAGAGGAGTGACTACCTTCAAAGAACTGCTGGAAAATGCCAAGATGAAGGATTTCCCCCTTGATATAATAAAAATAAATCAGAACACTAATAACACATAGAAAGACTATTGAAACAAACAACATAACAAAAAGAAAACAAGAAAATGGAAGGAATAAAGCCTTTTAAATAGGACATATGTTTGCCCTTGATGTTCATTATGTTCATGATTACAGAGTTCAAAGTCAATTGGGGCATTTCAACTGTTCCATGTGTTTGAAGTATAATCTTGCTACTTTAAATGATTCTTTATTTTTCCCTTTTTCATTTATTACCTCTGGTTTTGAATAACATAATATACCTATGTCAAAAGTCTCTCTCAAATGCTATTTTGGAATACTGCTTCTCTGGATAACCAGAAAACTCATTAAAATGCATATTCTAATTTGGTAAGTCTGGGTAAGGACCCAAGCCTCTGCATTTCCAACAAATTCCCTAAGGATGACAAGGCTATTGGTCTGTGACCACATCCTGAGAGACAAGGCTAGAAGGCTACCATGTGACAGCTATTTTCTGCTGGTTGCCTATTAGTTATTTATGACAGCAAATGCAGCAAAAACTCCTCTCTTTACAGATATACCTATTAGGACTTTTGAAAACAATCATGCTGGCTTGGATCAAGAAGGGAAAGAAGGGAACCAAGGGAAAGAAGCAACCAGAAGTTCCATGTAAGGTCCAGTGTTGTGTCTAGGGATTTTCATGACACTAAACTGTAGCTTGGCTTTTCAATTTTGTTTCATTCATTTTTCTTCTCTCATGGGTTAATTTTAAAGATAAAGTTGATTATTAAGTATAAGTCACTGTGGTGAACACCTATGATGGATTCTTAATAACTTCATAACCAAATGCTACCTTTGAAAGTCTGTTCTCATCAAATGTCAAACAAAACTTAGACCAATTTTGCTATCCTTCCTTCTCTCTCCAGCATTTTCTTGCATCTTTATCACTATTTATAGCACAGTTAGGATACAGACGAGGCTCTGAGTCTTTGATCTCCACCACTGGGGGTACTCTCACCAAGACCAGCTCCTTCACTTGATTTATTAAAGATTTATGCAAAATGATCTTTGGATGAAGCCTAGTAATCTTTCTCACTGTAATATTCCAGGCATGAATGAATGGTGACCAGATGATTCCACAAAGAACTAAAGATGGGAAAAAAAAGGAAAACAGGCAGTCATGGCATTATAACCAGTGGCCATTGGTGCTGCTGACTCAGGGAAATATATCACCATGCCATTTCTAATTTTTCCCTTAGTAACACACACACACACACACACACATATGTGTATGTGTGAGATAAATAAAATAAACTCTACAACAGGCTACATTTCTTAACAGGTATCTCTTGGAATTCATACAGCCCCAGACATAGTATTTGTGAGAAAGCAATGCCAGAAGCCAGAGGCATGGGAAATCAACTGGAAGACAAGGGTAATCAAGAGCATGAGGCTGCAATACCACCACATTTATATGATTAAAAATTTGTACAGTTAACTAAACAAGAACGCTTAGAATAAATGAAAGCATCTGTTGCTAATTGGAAACACATTTTGCTATATTTTTTCCATTGTCTTTCTTGGTTCTTTCTAAGGCTTAGTGCTTTGCTATGGTTACACACACCTATATTTCCTGCCATCCAGGGAAATAACTAAACCACACGAAAGAGAGAACTGGAAGATACTGTATTAACCACCAATGTGCATTATGGTTATTATCTTAGGTAACTTTAAAAGTTGTCCTCTGTAATGGCAGGAAAATCAAAGGTGAAGATAAAGGGAAAGCTGTCTAACATGTAGTATGTACAACATAGTCTACAAAGTATGGTGCAGGCATTCCTAATGAATCCTTTTTTTTTCATATATAGCTAGAAGAAACTTAAGGAAAGGAAACCTAGAAGACTAGAATATTTGACATCATTTTAATAGGATCCTATCATTAAAAAATTCCCTGAGAGGTTTCTTTTGGTAATTTTCTTTTCCATCTCCATTCAAACTCTAGGAGTATTTTGGTCCTTCTATTCTGTAAATTACCTAAAATGATTTTGTATCTTTCTGTCTCTAAGATATGGGTACTACCTGGTCTTTCTCTGCTTTCTTATTCAGTTCTCTGAATCTGTCTAATCTGTGATCTCTGTGATATTCTCTCTGAATCCATTCTGTTGTTTCATTCTTTATTTTCTGATACAGTTTGCATTTGACATTAACATTTTGTTGTCCAGTTAAGTGCAAGGTAAAATGTACCTGGCTTTGACTTGCATACGTCTATACCCTTTGGTTCTTATGTTTGTGTGTCTCAATTAGAGTATCAGGACTCAACTTCAAAACCAAGACACTAGCTTTTATTCAAGGCCTTTTCAATAATGTTACTATTTTTCCTGCTTTGAAACTTCAAGGAGGCAGTTGATCGAACTACTGTTAAGTTGTGTTCATCAAGTCTTTCATGAACCATGTTTTTAAAACTTCAATTAAGTCTTTTGTATCTTCAAAAGTTATTGTATTGTAGGTTGTACATAACTCATAATCATGTCATTTAAAAATATCTAACATATGCAGTGATGGCAACTATTAGTATTAATTTGACACAAAGAGAATTATTACTTACAAAAAAGTCCATATCTCCATATCCCTTTGTGGGGCATTCCATCCTTCAAAAATAGGCTCCCCTTTATCTAGTCCTATAAATTCTTCAAATGTATATTGAATACACACAATTTCTATGGAAATCATATTGCTGCTCAAACATGTCACACTCATTCTGTATTACATGTAGTAGGCAGAAAAATGGACTTTCAAGATGCTCACTTCCAATACCTGGGATCTACAAATATGTCAAATTTGTTCTTCATGATTATTTCCCTGAATCCTTTCTGTTCTTGAATTCTTTGTCTTCTGATACAGTTTATATCTGACATTAACATTCCGTTGCCCATTTAAGTACAAGGAAGTAAGGTAGAAGATGGAATTTAGTTTGCTACTTAGCCGGCATTGGAATAGTAAAAATATCCTACGTTATCTAGTAGGCCCAGTGCAATCCCAAGGGTTGTTCCTTGTGAACGAAGGAAGCAGGAGGGCCAGTGTGAGAGAGATGTGCTGGGAGGCGGACTCCACCAGCTATCACTGGCTTTGAAGATGGAAAGGTACTGACAGCCAAGGGACCCAGGCCACCTCTAAAAGGTGGAAAGGACAAGACAATGTATTCTTCCTTAGAGCCTTCTGAATGGCACACAGACCTGTGAATCCTTGATTTTAGACCAGAAGGATCTATTTCAGATCTTGATCCTCCAGAACTATAAGATAATAAATTTGTGGTTATTTGTTACAGCAGGAATCAGAAACCAATTATGTTATTGCTTACATTGCTTCCCCTTGTTGGGAAACAGTTTTCCATTTGTCTAATCCAAATGAGGTTCCATTTTCTCACAAAGTCTTGATGCTCCTCTTTGAAATTGACTCTTCTATTTAAACAAAGAGGCACATATTAACCATTTTATTGATCTGTAATATAACTTCACTTCTATCACTACTTGCCTTTGATGTTCTGACCTGCCTTTCAGGTTAGACCATAAAGCCATTGTTTTATACTTTGTTACTTCAAATTCTAGTGAAGTACCATTCATTCATTCATTTATTCAACGTGTATTATTACTGTGCCTACTTCATGCTAAGCATTTGGTATATAAAAATGTGGTTCCTGGCCTTAAAATTGTTTACAAATTTAATGGAGAGACAAACACATGTACAGCTAACTACAAGGCACAGTGAATCATAGTGTTATAAAATAAATATGGACACAATAGGTCTCAATTAGTGTTGTTATTAATAATGATAATAACCAACTTTTTTCATTAAATCTTTGGTGTTGTCCATAACTTGACAAATGTGACAATGTCTTAGAAATTTCTAGTTAAAACTTAAAAAAATTATGAACTATATGATATGGAGTCTGTCCATACTAAGGAAAATATGGGTGATAAACTATATTTTTGCTGATTTTATTTTATAGAATTTTAAAAAGTTTAACTCATGCTTTTAGAACTTCAAGGTCGTATTTTCTACACTTCTTAAGTGAGTTGACACTGTTCCTAGCAAAATGGTAGCTTAGGAAAAGTTTTTATTCCAATAGAGCAAAGAAAGAGGAATCATACAATGCTAGAGTTTTATGAGACATTAGAGATAAAGTCATTACTTCCACAGGATTATAGCTTGGTCATTTTGCTATGTCAAAATACCATAGACAGGGTTGCTTAAATAACAGAAATTTATTTTTTACAGTTCTTGAGGCTGAAAAGTCCAAGATCAGGGAGTCACTAATTCTGTAAACAAGGACTCCATCTTCATACCATAATTACTTCCCAAAGACCCCACCTACAAATATCACCACAGCAAGGATTAGGTCTTCAAATATGAGTTTTGGGAAGACATAAACAGTCAGTTGACAGCAGTTCATTTTTTAATTTTGCCAATAATGGAGCATGATCCAGACAGTGTAAGCTTTGGATTCCCACAGACCTGAGCTCAAACACTTCCTTTTAATTCTTATTTACTAGGCATAATAGCATTTCACATGCCATTCCTTGTGTAATCCTTACAAAAACTCAAAAGAGGTAGGCACCAACACCACCTTCTATTTATTCCTTAAGATTTAAATACTATGACGTTTCAGAAAGGTGGTAAGTACACATTCCTATATGCTATACTGTCTGTTTTGTTGGAGTATTATATAAAGCAGTAGGAACACTGCTTGATTTATAACTTTTAAGTATGTCTAGCCATATCATAAACATTTATAGGAGGCAAGTCAGAAGAAAAGAAAGACTAATTATAATACCACAGCACATTTCCTACAGATGGCCTTTATGGCAAGATTAGACCTTATGTTCCTCAGGCTGAAGTAACAGATTCATGGTCATGACTGCTACCATCAGAATGGACTTTAGATCTTTGTCACAACATTCATCAGGAAAGTGCAGAAGGAAGTAAACTCTCAGAGTGGCTGTAGAAAAACAATAAGTTGCACATGGTTCACATGAATATTTAAAAAAATTAGGTGAACATCTGGTTTCTCTCCAATAGTGGGGTGGTTTTTTCAATTGAAGCCCTGTAGTATCTATGACTTCATCTCTTATGAACA